ATTTTTCTTCTTTATTTTAAAATTTATCAAATGAAAATGTTTCTTGAAGAATTTCATTGGACAAATTTTCATGTTTGATAATTTTCCTCGGAAATTTCAGATACGTAAGGAACATTCACTTTTCACTCGCAACGGAAACGTATTCGATGATTTTCCAAATTTTGCAATAACGATGCCTTTATATTGATGTTACCCTAATCATTAGCCAGTAGATGTTTAGGCAACGATAACATACGAAAATATGTAAAATACACGAGAGTAATGTTATAATTTTACTGACTATAATATAGCATTAGGCAGAGCTGGGCAAAATATTATTTGAAATAGTAAATAGTCTATTTTATTTTAAATCGTGCGTATAACTATGAAAATAAGATAAAGAATTGATGGAATTAAAAGTACCCTGTTGGAAAAAAGCCATTAATATACCAATGGTGCATATTTTGATGAAATTATTGTTTTCGAAAATGCATTATTATTATTTTAACATACAAAAACAGCAATTTCATATAGTACACACCTAATACATTTGTTGTTTACGCATTTGAAGAAATTCTAACATTACTCCCATGATTATTCCAATTGCATAAACATTCGCAGTCTGCTAATTGCGGTACCCTTCATCTCGGTCTTTTCACTTGAAACGAAGAGAGAGCCGAAAAGAGCAAAGGAAAAAAATCGACGAAACATTAAGGAATAACATGGATGCTCCCGGTAATCCCAGTCTTCCATAAACACCAAGTTTATTCCACGACGTTAAAGGTCGAATATCCCACGTCCACGTTGATTTAACAAAGTTCCAAAGCTTTAACGAGCCTGTGCCTTTGGAGGCTCCGTTCGTAATCCTATTAAAGAACTTTTAAAACTGCTAAATCCCGGGTCCAGGTGAAATTTACACCAGGGAAGGGAGAAAGCTGTTCCTTGACATTTTCCGCGACGCGGTCATTATTCCGTCGACGGACAGTATCATCCCTTTTATCTCGTTAGCGAATTTCCACGGATTCGAAACCAGAAGGGGATGATAGGAGGAGGACGATGACGTAGAACTTCATTATAAATGAAACTTAGCAACCTGCGAACCTCTGACAGGAGAGAGTTTCCTGTATCACACTGATCTCCTACATCGTACCTCGTCGATTCCTTTGTTATTAATGAATATAAAGAATGTCTGGTAGTGGAAATCTGAAAGCCATGAAAAATACAAAGAAAATATTTCCAGATTATGTCCTATTTTGTGGTAAAATTATCCAATCAAATTGGAATACTTAAATTTAATTCAGTCAAATGTAAGTTTTCCAATTGAATTTCATGATCCGCTGCATAAAATGCAAAGTATGGATTCGCGAAACTTGCGGAGGAGTATTGAAAAATAGACGAAAATT